TTTCACAAATATAAGTTTAATTGTTGAAAGCTGTTTTAGTTGAGCTTTTTTTTTTTACAAAATATGATATAATTTTCAAGTTTTTCTGCAATAAATAAGTCGAACAAATATAAACAAGTCAGTTTGACAGAATGTTTCTACTATAACAGGAAGCAGTTTATCTCATCCAACACTCAAAACTTGTTGGCTCAAAGCAAAAGAGCTACTATATTTGTTAATTTTTCAAAAATATAAACTTACTTTATTCAATTCTAAAAAGAGTAATGAAAAATTCCAACAAAAATTAAATTTTGCAAGGAATTCAATACAAAGCAATATCCACATACAAATTGAATAACATTATGTCAGAGTAACACACTGTTAAAACAGGTATTCAAAATTAAAAGACATTCTTTTTTTTTTTTTTTTGTATCATTATAAATGATCATATCAGCAGGAGCAGTTGTTGCCCCTTGGCTGCCCACTTGTACGTACATTATAATAATTGGTATAATTTGTATCAGTAAATGGCTGGTAACCTCCAAGTATATCATGACAAAAATGGGATCATTACTATATGCGTCTGTGTGTTGTCATATTATATTGTAATCATTGGTTTTCTTATTGTAGATTCTGGAATGTCTTAACTTGACCCCTGCCCTCTGCAACCACCAGCTGACCAGCAGGGTTGATGGCTAATGCTCTGGGATACTTCAGCCCATCCTCCTCAGTGGCAATGTATCTGGTAAACTGTCCTTGTGGACTCAGTGCCACTATCCTGTGGTTACCATTGTCAGCAATGAAGATGTGACCATAGCTGTCTGTGCACACTCCCCGTGGTAACCTCAGCTGACCAACACCACTGCCTTCTGTGTTGCCATACTGGTACAGCTGATCACCAGTAGGTGACAGCACATGTACACAGTCATTGCCCCAGTCTGATATCACAATGTTTTCATTCACACTGTTCACTGTGATGTACATTGGGAGTTTACACATACTGAGTGGAAAAGTGTTCAGGAGCTGTCCACTGTCTGCATGGAATGTGAAGATGGATTTTTTTCCCTTGTCACAGACCATCACATGACCTTGTCTGTTCAGTGTTACACCATATGGACGTCCCAGTAAACCCTGACCCATGGTTGTCACTTGCTGACCTCTGATTGAGTACACTTGGACACACTGGTCACCCAGTGATGTTATATACAGTTGACCATTCTGTGACACAGCCACATCAAATGGACCATTTAGCTTTATTTGTAACTTGAATTGCCCTTCATGTGTGAATACCTTTGTTCTGTTATTACTGTTATCTACAAGATACATATGTTGTTCATCTATGGCCAGCCCACTTACGGACATACTTTTATCATATTTGAGTTTAGGATTGAAGGAATGCATACATCCTGCCTTCTCCAAGAAAAAGGGTAGATGTGGTGCTGATCTTGGATTTGGTAGATTTTCTTCCAGGCTAGAAAGTCTATGAGGCTTTGACTTTATTTTCACCTGTCCTAACATGGCGTCCAGTCTGGCACGAGATATCTTACCAGGGCTGTAAGAAATCTGTGTTGGTGTGTCTGGAGCTGGCACTGGCATTTTTTCCATGGCTGTTAATCTCTCTGTCAGAGCTTTAGTGTGAATCATGATGTCAGAGGCAGAACCATTTGTGAGAAGTTCCTGAGCAAAATTGCATGCACTGTGCAAGGATGCATGGTGAAGTTCAAGGGTTTCCTTGTTAGCCCCCACCTGCTTTTTTCTGATATCACATGCAGAAAATACTTCTGATATCATTATCTGCTCCCTCTGATCAACTAATCTTCGAATACGTTGAGCCTGATCTTTGATTTTGTTGATGGAGGCTGCCATGATTTGCGATTCTTTTATTTCAGTGGCTGTTTCCTTTGCAACTGCTTCTTTGAACATGTTCAGTTTTGGCAAAGTTTGCACAAGGACAGTTTTTATCCTTTTTCTGTTGGTATTTGCAGCTTTTTCAACTGGCACAATATACCATGTCTGTAGTGTTCTGGTGATACACAGTCACCACATACAACAGTATCATCATCTTCACAATAGTATTTCAGTTCATTTGAAGGATGCTTCTCACATTTGATCATCACTTGTGAGACACCATGTGTCACTCCTTGCACATCAGTTTCTTTAATTGTTAATGGTACTTCATGCTGCTGTTGCTGGCTGAGAAGTTCTTTTGTTGTGTGAATACGGAAATCTTTTTTCAATTTCACAAGTCCTTCCCTTGGAAATTGTATCTCCTCTCTACAAAGGGGACACAAAAATGTCCTTTTTGGAGTAATAGTCTGTGTAGCATGGTCACATATACAGCCATAGCAAAATGTATGGTAGCAAGGCAGCACACGGGGGTCCTCGTACTCTCCTAAACAAATGCTACATGTCAATAGTTTGTCTGCGAAAGCTGCTGCCAGTGCCTCGGCCATATTGTCACCTCAGAACACAAGGTAAGCACTCGGTGAATAGTTCAACAGTAAAATGTAAGCTATCTAACTCAAGTACTCTTTGTAGTGTGGCAGCAGATGATCAGGTGATGGTGATGTCAAAAATATTTATGGAAATGTACAATGCACATATTGATTACATGCACTATATTTGATATGGTTATTTGTACAAGTGGCCAAGTAGCCCACTAAGGCAACTATGGTACTGCTCCTGCTTACATGATCATTTACTGATACAAAAAACATCAGTGTCTCTTAATTTTGATAATGTGCCTTAACACTGTTACCCTGTCATTGCTTGTACATGGACATTTAACTCCTCGTAAAATTAGTTATTTTTCTGTCGAATTCTAAAGTAAGTTTAGATATTTGGAACATTAGCAGAAAGCTCAGACTTTTACTTTGAGTTACTAGTATATGCCCCGCCCCCTCTCCTTGCACTTATCAGGGGCATTTTAATTAGAGTTTTTAGAGAAATAATTTAAGTACAATATATAGTTTTACAACCCATATTTAGGTCAAAATTAGAATCAGTCGAGACCCAGTTACTAGTAGTCTCAGTCTCTCCTCAGACTGCATTATGATATTTAATTTGCCTGCAAGGTTTCTGCTCCTCCTTGACACTGATCTGATAAAACTTGTCCATTGTTTATAATTCCATCATGTGTTTATCAGGTGATGAGTCCAGAGAATAAACCTTAATGGACTATTACAGTTATTAACTTTTAATGTATTTATATCTGTTGCTTATGATGATATTAAAAAGTGCACTTTACTTGGGTTGTTCAGAGTAGTGGAAATGCAGGTTAATATTGAAAGGAAGTGTAACCAAGGAATTATAACTCCTTGGGGTAACTAAGATGCAGATAGTAGAGAGAGTGAGTGCGCAGTGTGCATTTACCATACTTGGGTATATGTACTTTCTTATACTGAAATTTTTCAATAAAAAAAAAAAAAGATGCAGATAGTAACATTTATTGATTGGGCAATAAATTCTTACAAACTTAAAATATTTTGTTACCAGTAATTATTCCTGCATGAGTATTCACTCATTCTCAAAATATGTAGGTCCATTTGAAGAAAAGTTAAAGATACATGTGCAAATTCCACATTTCTTTTTTCTCTGCATGGTGACAGAAAGTGATAAATCTGACTTTTTGTGTAAATAATTTTAAAATTTGAATTCATGCCTTACTAGAATGGGAAATTTTTTATATTCAGTAGCAAAGGTTTTAGCCTATTTTAGGAGAAAGTTTTAAAAATTATTAACAACTCTTTTGGATAATATTAGCACATTAATACTAACAGAAATAAGATGGAGTGAATTAAAGGAGTATTACATTATGCACGTTTATTTTACGAATTGATTTTGTCCTCAGCCTTGAGTGCATTTTTTCACAATGCCTTAATTGTTACTAAGGTTTTGCAATTTAATTTCTGAGAATGCAGTTGCCCTAACATAACGTCATGTTTTGCTTTCTATAGATCGGCATATGGTCTAACTACTGACCGATACATTTATGTCTATCGTTACATACATTCATATATATATATATACAATAATTTATTACATTATATTGGCTTTCCAGCCAGGTGGGTTGCGACAGCAGTCACTTCAATTAAATTACACTTATGATAAAGAAGACTTAGAGCCTTAATATAAAATAACTTCTGCTGGTGCCAGTAGACAATTGCAATAGGTTGATAATTTAAACTGATTGAACAAGGTAAATTATTATATTATAAACTATTAATAGTTTCAAAGCAGAGGGCCAATCCTAAATACATTTGAGGTGGATGTACTTATGGGCGACTTATTTATCAAAGATCTGGCTTCTCATTTAACTGAGATACCTTGACACTACACAAACTGACTTCCTTGACTTGACTTATAAACTGATTATATGAGTATACATCCAAAAGACATTAGCCCTAAACCCAGATTATATAACATCCTTACAAACTTCTGGAAATTAAATTTAATAAAATGTAATAATTTGTTTTTATAGCTGCTATTTCAATGAAAAGTCGAGAAAACTGAAAATTAATTTAAGGCATTAAATTATAAGTATGATGTACAGTCCCATAACTCTCATATCTGAATTTTACCTGTATTTCATTGTTATGAATCACTCACGCAAATTTGAAGATGGTCTGTGTTTAAGGCATTAAATTATAAGTATGATGTACAGTCCCATAACTCTCATATCTGAATTTTACCTGTATTTCATTGTTATGAATCACTCACGCAAATTTGAAGATGGTCTGTGTTTAAAAACAGAGGAAATGCAATAAGCACTCAATACATAAATGCACTCGATGGAATTCCATTTCTTTAATAATGATCCTCTTTCAAAGAGCTCATTTCTAATGTCATTACAGATCAGGTACAGGTACTCACACAGGTGGTAGTTCCTCTGTGGCACAGAGAAACTTGATCACTGGTTTAGAAAATATTCTAAAAATTAGAGGGGGGATGAGTATTAGATACAATGTATGTGGATGATTCAGAAATTGAAATTATAGTTCATAAACAATGCTTCTACAGAATGTGGATAACCATCTATGATAATATATATAATCCATTAAATAGCTTTTAAAATCAATCCCTTAATTCCCTCTCAAACATTTCAATTTTGTTACGGAATATCCATGCATGTAGCCATCAAAAATTTGAGACAGTCTGATTTTCCATCAGATTTTCCTAGAAAAACCAGTAGTAGATTAAAAATTGCGGTAATTAAGTTCATACCTTACTGATCAATTAGTTATGGAAAATAGCATCAATTTATATTCAATTATTGATAAATAATGCACTCAATTTTCACAGAAATTATGTGTTGGTTTACCTGCACACCAAGGGTAAGGGTACAGGAAAGTGTTTCCTCCTCAATACAAAAATAGCTTAATCAAATGGTACACCTTCTTCTTGAACTGAAGCTTAAGTTTGCAGGTGTGAAAATGGAATGGCCTCATGCCTTCAGTCTATCTGCAGGTTTCAACCCAAAGTATTAGAAAAATGAAGGACATTAGAGTATTTCATGAGGTTTGCATAATGATTGGGTCGCCTGTTAAATACAACAACTCATGTTTTTGTCTTTTAGGCCTCATTCTGAAAATATGACTGACCCATTCGAATACTTCCCCGCACGATATCTAGTCTAGCTGTGTCTCTTAGCGGATTAGACAGCAAGCTTTGTAGTGGGTCCCCATATTTGATCCTCAGACTAGTCAGTACCCTATTCTGAATGGGGCCTAAGATACCATTCCCATACCAAGATCAATCTATATAACTGGATCAACCCATCTTTTTGAGTTTTTTTTTTTTTTTTTTTTTTTTTTTTTTTTTTTTTTT